AATAAATGATCTATATAAAATTATGACGAAAAGATGACTTTTTGTATGTGCAAATACGTTTTGTAAGAGAGAACTGGACTTTTACTCTCTTCATGATCTTTTATACCTTTGTTATTTATATAATTTTTAACGAATATAGAAAATCTAGTGTCATCGTTTTGTTCTCTATTTCGTCCTTAATTTACTGCTTTTCGAATCATGTAAATATTGTTTCTTGTTTGGTTTTTACGAGCATTTTCCCAAAGCCTAGTAAAACCGTGAAATTCGGCCGGTTATTCTCGCATAGGCACCTCTTTTTCGCATGGCACTAAAAGGGTTAAATAATCGTATCTTCGCTTCCCAAATTGTCCATTTTTGCGCGCAATCTGAGCGCGAATTAGGGAGAAATTACTGTACTCGCGAGCGCGAGCGGCCGCGCGAAGCGCATTTTGCGAGGCCTGTACCTTCTTGTGGAAGTATCTTTTTTCAATTGCATTAAATGGATATTGTTCCTGGTGCTAAGTAGAATATTTTCTGGTGCTAACATTTCAAAAATTTGTTATCTGTTACATTAGTGAATCGATCAATTGCAGATTCAAATTATAGGAGCAAATGGAGTGCATTTATTGCAAAGTTGTAGTCGCAACTTTCCGGTCTTGCGTGCCGTCTTTTTAATGTAACAAACAACAAATTAGAAACTATTTCAGTCCATTCAAACCATTTCATTATGTTNTACTGTTGAATCGTTAGAAACCCTGTTATTACAAATACTGTTATATATTTTTTTTTCTTTTGACAAAAGATAAGACTGCCAGTAAATGTTCTATCTTTATTTTGTCGACAACGCCACCATTCAACCGCATTGTGCAACAGAAAAAAGCGTACAAAATTGTTCGTTGCAATCCGAAGCACAAAAACATTTCAGATTCCTATAATATAGCAAACAACAAATTAGAAAGTATTTCAACTTCTGGATATTTTGTGCCGTTTCTGAAATATGTTCACTCGAAGCTGAAGATAATTGAGCACCGCCTAAAAAATGGTTGATATTCCTTTATTTCCTGCTCAACGCGTACGTTTCCACAAGCATATAATAATTCGGGAAGATCTGATATCTCGTTATACGAGAATATTTGGATTTTATATTTTTGTCCCGCAAGGCCGCACTGTTCGCCGCGCCGCATCGCGTCTAATAGTATTTGACTATTTCCAGCGTGGTTCGGCTTCCGTTCGATAAACTATGAAGATCAAGAAGTTAGAATACCGAAAACTTTCGGAACTTGGCGAAACGTAGCCCGCACCTTTCTTAGCGCGAACGCTGCTTTAAACTGCCCGGAACGAAATACAAAAGGTCTTGCCTTTCGTCGCATAAAGCTTATTGTTTGTATTGAAGTTCTGTGGATGCGAGGAAATTTCTTGATATTATTTGTAAATTATAAAACATATTCTGCAGACCCCTTGGACAAATATATATTTAAACAATCGGTCGGCATATACTGTACGTATGAAAATTGTAATTAAAAAATACGTCAATGAAAAATTTCGAAATTTTTGACAATTTAATATGTGTAAAAAATTAAAAATAGATTTTTGAACAAGTGAACGAATTGTTTAATATATATTTTGGAATTGTTATAATAATATTATTATAATATTGTTATAATATTGTTATAATATAATATAATATTGTTATAATATTATAATAATAATATATATACGAATTGTTATATATATTGTTTAATTATGCCGCAAGCTTTTGTCGGAGGCATCGATAGTTTTCGTGGGGGTATAACGCGACAATAATGTATTTTTAAGAGCTGACAACGCTGTAAATTAGCCCCACTTTTTTCTGTTATAGTCAGAAGTAGTTCACTGGTCGACCGTTCCATTTGGGCAGAGTTCGCTATTGTATAACTGCATTGTCTACAGAGTTATTGACAATTTAGAAAATTGGACTTCTTAGTCGGAAGCGAGTATATTATATATCTCAATCTTACTACCGCAGCGGTATTCGTCTGCGATACCGAGTATAGAAGTGCATCTATACCTCGTTTGCGATAAGAGTTAAAAATGATACAGTAAATTCTCCCTAGAATACTAACGTAAATTCTCCCTAGACTTCTAACGTAATGATCGTTAATCCTTTGGCGCGAATCCTTTGGCCTCCGAATTGCCTTCGAATCGAGCCACCTGGCCTCCGAATGTCCGTCGAATCGAGTCTAAAGCTATCATAATAAATAAAACTGAAAACTAGCCCTTAACCTTTTTAGTGCCATGCGAAAAAGAGGTGCCTATGCGAGAATAACCGGCCGAATTTCACGGTTTTACTAGGGTTTGGGAAAATGCTCGTAAAAACCAAACAAGAAACAATATTTACATGATTCGAAAAGCAGTAAATTAAGGACGAAATAGAGAACAAAACAGTGACACTAGATTTTCTATATTCATTGAAAATTATATAAATAACAAAGGTATAAAAGATCGTAAAGAAAGTAAAAGTCCAGTTCTCTCTTACAAAACGTATTTGCACATACAAAAAGTCATCTTTTCGTCATAATTTTATATAGATCATTTATTACAAAGTATATACTTTGCATTTCTGATATATTTTGTAACAAGATAAATAATATTACATAACAAACATAAAAAACAACTCGAAGGTACATGGTAAGCGCCGGACGGATTATCTCTTCCGAAATATGTAATTGTTACAGGTAATATAACATTGCTGAAACAAAATTATGTTGTCATAAATATATTTGTGATATAATTTTGC